CATGCATATCCTCTGCCCTACTTGTGTCGAGTTACTTTTCCGTACTTCATTTTACATTTTTTTTTATAACTTTCCTTCAATGTTTTGTGTGGAATTATTTTTATTTTATGCCTTGATTTTCGTCGTTTTATTTGACATATAGACACCTCTCTAGGATAAAATCAATCAAACAACCGGGCATAAACTCTTAGCGGAAAGAACCTTATGATTCATAACCTGACAAGCCTGCATAAATCACTTCGTAGGTAAACAAGAAAAGTTTAGGTTTCGAAAGGGCACTAATTGGATGATTAGCATAACTAAGTCTCCAAATTTAGAATTTCTAGTTCATAGAAAATGGAATGACTTCCCGTATAACATTTGGCTCATAATTGGCTCCAATAGGCTAGTGGTAACTCCAAAATAGGATGAGACTTCATAAATTGATTTAAATAAATTGAAATTCACCACCACCGTACAAGATAAGGGTTTAGGAGAACTCAAGCCGAACGAGTGAACACCTCAAGTAAGAGGACTGCTCTTTGCTACTCAACATTATCTCTAAACCTGCTCCCCTCAAGTTGAGCCCCGAGGGAAAGTTGCAACAAGGACTTTCCTTGTAAGTTCCTTTTTTTTTTTTGGTTGAATTTGCTTGAAAGTTCTTAAATGCACAAATTTGGACGTCCGTTGGATATACGTTGGCATCCCAAATAGGAAATCTATTATGTGAGTTCGGACTTTTGCTGCCATCTTCAAACGAATACATCACTAGCACCGCGATCCAAAATAGGAAATCTAATATGTGCTAGTGATGTGGTCCAAAATAGGAAATCTATTTTGGACGTCTGACTTGCATCAAACTTCGAGCAACTCACGTGCTATTGTTCAATTGAAATCCGCTTACAGGCTCAAATTCAAGACGTATTCTAACAATTACTTTTTATTTATCTAATTTTAATTTGCTAATTTGACGTGTTATTTACTGGTATCACTAGTTCGCTGGAATTGAAAGGAAAAGGAATATACAATTACTATACGTCAAGGAAAACGTTTCATTATTAATATTCATGAAAAAAAAGAGTTAGTTTTACAAGCATCTAAAATGGCCTTTGAGAGTATGAAGTAGCGGGTCAAATAGAATTTAAATTAGGAAACCTCAAACCATAAAGCTAAAGGCAAGAAACTATCGTTTGGATTATTCATTCATGTGGTAGCAAGCCAATTAATGCCTGAATTTTCCTTAACAAATTTCAAATATTAAAGGTAAAAAATTCACTTTATGGATGTTGCGGAAAACACAAGATCGAACAATAAAATAAGAAATAAGGAAACATATTAGACATCGAATTTTCAGGGAGAGCAGCACATGATTCCACTATAAAATAAGTTATACAATGGAGACTACAACTACACTTGAGTTAGTTAAACACTCTCAGTGATAGCATCAATTGCACCCCATAACTCATAAGATGTTTAGTCCTCATAATTACTCACAATATAATCTCAATCTCTTTACAAATCTAACCACAAGATTTTCATTGCTTGAACACTAACTTCATGGGGTGTATTATTCTCCACCATTGGCACGATAATTCCACGGACTGAGAACTCTCCATCAATGGCGCAACAACAAGGCAAAAATAAAACAACCTTTAAATAAACTTTCAAGTAAGACCTAAAGTGGTGCCATTTTCTAAAAAAAGGACAAATAGTGGATATTGGGTGTGTTTGGTTTAGCTTTCCCAAGGGGTTCTTGACCTCCAAACCCTCTTGGGGAAATCCTGGGGTGTTTGGCAAGCCTTCCTAAGGGGCTTTCGGCCAAATGTTAGCCTTAGGAAAGTTGAAAGCCCAAGGGACCAGCCTTAAGCTTTCAACATTTGCGGAATGCTGAAAGTAGGATTAGATAAATTTTTTTCTTATAAAACTACCCTCACAAATTCTTTAGATTTTCGATTTTTCCCCTCGTTATTACTGTTCATCCTTTTTGTGTGAGGGCGGTTGGCGAGAGCCGACGAGCCAAATCTAGCCGGCGAGAGGTTGGCAAGGTCTCGCAACCTCGGTGAGGTCCACTTGAGTCAGGCACCTCAAGCGATGGTCAATTGGATCCCGCGAACTTAGGCCTCATCGAGCGAAGAGGCCTGAGGTCGCGCGACCCAAGCGTCCTTGTTGATTGGGGTCACGCGACCCTAGCGAGGACCGCCTAGGGTCACACGACCTAAGGCGACAGTCGCATGGGTTGTACAACTTCAAGCCTTGTCACCTAGGGTTGCGTTACCCCGGCGAGGGTCGTCCCAGGTCGTGCGACCTTGGGCAACGGCCACCAGCACCAAATCTAGCTGACTGATGGCTTGAGTTGAGCCCTTTGCCGGAGTCGGCAAAGGGTTTGATTTTTTTGTAATAAAAAAAGAAAAAATTGCACCCAAATGCCTTTTGCAAAAAAAAAAATTGCCAAATACTACTTAAGCCAAAGTAGTTTTATAAATAATTTTTTAACAAATGCAATTTGCATTTCCCCAAAGTCCTTTAGGTCAAAGGCCTTTGCATTCCCCCAAGGCCCATTTCCAAAGCCGAACCAAACACAGTCATTGTCTTGATTAAAGGCCTGAAATGGCCAAATTAGTCTCATATAAGAATCCCAAATCGCGGCCGGCCAAATCTTTGCCAGCCAACTTACTTTGGCAGCTAGAATAAAGGCAATTTTATCCAAAATATGCAATGCGAAACAAAAAAAAGTGAACTCTTAAAAATAAAAAATCCCAAACTGAATTATGATTAGGTTTCTTCGTGGAAATTCTCCTTCTTTCCTGGGTTCTCTCCTCGACTCTCCATCTTGATCTTGTCTGTCGTTCTTGGATTGGCAACCTTCTGCATAATCATTACGATGGACGGATGTAGTTTGGGGAATAGTGAGATGTTCACTTTTCAATTATTTGATTTTTGCTGCATAACCAAGTTTGCAGTCTGAGCAGTAGATCCAATCTGCTAGCAGGGCGGATTATAGTTGCATACTGTACCAAAAAAGTGAAGATTGTTTTAAAAAAGAGATGGAGTCTCACTCTTCTTGACATCAAGATACATCATTTTGCTACAAATCGGTGAAGAAATCTCCGAGGTTAGCTCCCAAAATCACGCATGCTCTATGAGAGATGCTCGTGGAGGCTTTGGGAATCGCTATAGTACGATGAAACTGTAGTCTAACTCCAAAAAATTAAGAATAGCTACTTTCAGTATCGGCGGGCTTCATGTAACACACAACAAAACATGAATCAATTAGAACATACTCCCGGAAGAAAGAACCAAAGCAATAAATTTTTTTTATCAATTTACACCAAAGAAAACTGTTGATATAGGGACTATAACCGGCACGTAGGGCCACGAGAACAACAAATTCAATTAAAAAATACACGGTAGATACCACTTGCCATTAGAAAATACAATTGATTCGCAAAAAAAGAACACAGAATGCAGCCATAAATTCGACCGAACCAGCCAAAGCAACACCAACAAATAAGCACTCCTACCATTGTTGTTCTCATTGCCATCGTTGTGGTATTCCATGATATGGCCACGCCTTGTCGATATGTTGCTTCAAAAAGTTACAATCGCTTTCTTTAGGACGAACGAAGGATCAACTGCACCAACTTAGAAAACTGAACTCGGTGGATGGGAATGAAATTAGAGGAGTGATTTGATCTTGGGCGATGAACTTGAGCTGGAATGGAAGAGCCTAGTCTCCCTACACTCTTTAGATGGAATCGACGCTCCTAACTTGCTTTGTTTACTTCTATTTGGCTGTATCTTTACTTTGTTTTCCCACAACAAAGACAAGTTGATGGATTTATCGGAGGAAATCACGTGTATTGAGATTGTTGGAGAGGGAGAAATCATGAATATTCAATTTAAGACCTTTTTATTTTTAGTGTTCTGCATGAACCTTAGCTTTATTTGGGTAAAATTAGAAATTTCGAATAGAATTGCCCCAAATCTAGCCGCCGGAAAAAGCTAGCCCAGAAAGATTTAGCCGGCCAACGATTTGGACGTTTTATTTGAGACTAACTTGGCAACTTTAAGTCATTATTTGAGACAAAGTTTATTTCGGGCCCTATTTTGAGAAAACTTTCTACTTCATACCCTTATCTGAGATTTTCCTAATTAGAGATACATACACCTACAATCCAGCTTGTTCAAGCCCAAAATTGATAAGTCGGTCACCAAATCCAAATCCTCTACCCGGCGTTTCCCCTTCTCCAAGATATCGCGGCTTTCCCTTTTTGATTTATATTGCCAACTTCAACATGGATATACATTCCGACCAAAAAAAAAAACAACTTGGATATGCATTCACCAACGCAGTAACTAGTCCAATTCCTTTCTTTTCTTTTCTTTTTTCAAATTTGGATGTCCAATGAATAAAGACCGGACTTCCAAGTAGGGAGTCTCTTATGTGAATTCGGAATTTCGTTGCCATGCTTTTGTATGTCCAATTTGTGTCGGACTTTGAGCAGTCCACACGCTCCAGATCGATCTGTATTTCACTTACAGGCTCAAACTCAAGAGCTATTCTAATGCTAGATCTTTGGAATACTTTCTCCTAAAGGACAAGAGCATCCCAGATACTCTAGCATATAAAGTTTCAGTCTCTTCCAACTGATGGCTCCCTAGCAGTTACTGCGTTGAACTATTTTTTCTTTTTGTTACAGATTATGTATTTAAAAAGTATCGACACTTCATTTTTTTTGGGGGGGGGTGTTTAGTATTCACGATAATTGTGCTTTTCATGTCAATGATTAAGACTATCATAACAAGAACTACTTATGGAAGAATTAGTCTTTAACTAAGTTCAGTTGAAGATCCGACTTAGAATGATGCGTATGCGTGCATAGTCCAGACAAATCTATTCATTTATAAGCTTTTGCAGTTCTCCTCGCGTAGACGTCCAAGATTATCTTGCTCCAAAACCTTATATTAAGAAAACAAGATCATAAATAAACTAATGGAAATCAATCTTAAGAACAAATTGATACTGGTAACCAAATTCATTTGTTATTGGGAAGGCATGGATACAATAGCAAGTTTCTAAACCCAGTTCTCTGATTGGTTTACGTCCTCGGCTGCTGTTCTGCGAGAATTAACAGTGCAGAAATCACCTCCTTCTCGTTCATACAAGTTCTCAGTTTCTCACGAAGGTCTTCCAACGAGCTCTTCAACTCTCCGAGTTCAAGCAATCCAAGTTGATCAACTGGAGGTTGGCCTTTGGCAGCTCGTTTTGCTTTCAGCGCCTTCTCGAGCATCTCTCCTCGCTTCTCCTCTGCGTTTAATTGCTTGAGTAGATCGAGGAGTTGTTGGTTTAGATTATCATCGGTTGTGGTTTCGTCACGAGATTCAGCAGCTTTGCTCGTGCCCTCATCCGTAGCCTTTTCCTGATTTAGAAATCGGTGAACGAGGGATTCCACGTTCGGGTGCCCGAACGAAAAGGGTTTGCCTCCAGGGGAAAACACGATGATCGCAATCTGGACAGCGCACAGGATCGCGAGCTCGTTCGCCTTCTTGAAAAGCCCGGTTCTTCGCTTCGAGAAAGTCACTTGCCTCGTGCAACTGTCCGTCACCATCTGGATCTCGATCTTGCGACGACCCATGATTAATTCCTTCAGCGCAGAGCTCCTGTGATCTCTTAATATGATCAATAGCAGAATACAATCTGAAGAACTCGAGACGTGTATATATATATAGCCACCATTTCAAGACAATCGAGATTCCTAATACGGGTTTCGGAACCTAATTACCATAATCGGATTAGGGTTTACTGGCAAGGCAAGTTCTTTAATTATCCTCCTTCTGTATGACTAAAACATGATGAACCTCCAATGGTTCCTTACTGTCATACTTACTGTGTTACAAACAAGCAAAACTTAGGTTTATTCCTATCCAGAGTCTCTCTCTCCTCTCCAATGTTGTACACTCTTGGCTCTTTCACCATATTTGACTGGTGTTTCCTAACTTGGAATTCAATTTATTCATGAAGGATTTATACATTGATTCAAACCAAGTCTGAATGCATTAGAATTAAGTATGATGAAAATAATATTCGGCCGTATTAGTGAGAAAATGGACGACTTAGTATAAATAATATACGTATTTAGCCGTGATTGCAATATATAGTTTTGTTTTTCTGAAATTCAAGAATGTGATATCTTGCCCATATCTTGATTTGGAAAGACACCATCCATAAACGAATGCTGAGGATGAATCCAGCAATATCAAGAGTATGTTGTTAGCTTCAAGCATTTCCAGTTTTGCCCAGCTTGTTTCCTTCCTTTCCCACTTACCTAATGAGAGAGAAGCTTACAGAGGAATCCGTACAGTATTATTTTTTTTTTTGGGTCAGAAGCAACTATTTTGATTTACTTGAAAAGAGTGTTGTGGATAAAATTTAGATGCTTCGGACCAAGGAAGCTCCCGAAGGGCCGGAGGGGTATTTAAAACCCAATTTTGTGGCAACCTATTCTTTTTCTGGGCCTTCACAACCCAATCGGCTACTTTATTTGACTCTTCATTTATGTGGGCTAACTTTAAGGCTTCATTTGTTTTGGTGGCGAACGAATGACGTGGAAAATGTTTTTCTAAAAATGATCATTGGTATCGCTTACAAAAATGAATGAACTCGTCCAAGTAAATTCCATCAATGTTGATTTTAAACGTTCCCTGTTCTGGTGGCTGCCATTGTTGAAGACCGAAGCTTCCTGCAACTGGGTTTTTCCGCTTGACAGGGATGCCATCATGCAATATTTTGCTGCATTGCGGGGGCCTCTTCCACCATTTTGCTCTGGACCTGGCTTTTGCGCTCGAAAGATAAAGTGATTTCTTACTTTCCAGATTTGCCAAAGAACAATCGCCAGTAGCTCGAAAGTGACCGAGGCATGTTTAAATTCAGCCAACCACTCTTCAAATCCCGAGAGACCTTGGGGAAGAAATTTCGATGTTCAGTGGTGGATCTGTCCAGACCTTCCTCGTCCATGGGCATTAGAAGAAATGCATGCTCAGCTGTTTCAGACCTTTGATTACAGAGACTGCAAAGGGGATGGGGTAAGATTTGCCTTCTGTATAAACTGTCCCTTGTAGCTAGTGCGTTTTGGCAGGCACTCCATAGGAAAAATTTTGTTCTGGGTTACTGCCAAATCTTAGTCCATAGAGTTTTAGGAGTTCGGTTAAGAGGAAGACGCCTGTTCTGAACTTGGGTTTTGACCATTTCCACTCTGTTTACAGATTGGCGAGAGGAACTATTGCAATGTGTGTACAATGTGTGAGAACGACTATTGTAGAATTGTATAGTTACTTAAGTCGAAAGCGGGGTTGTCGTAGAAGGAAGTCGGATCCTGCGGGGAACAAGTTTTACCCTGGTAACAAAACGGCATTTGTACTCTTCGTATGATTGGCGGAATTCGATTTACTATATCAATGGTTAACTTTTCGAATTTATGACAGTTTGAGGCGTAAACATTATTTTCTGTTTTTTTTCTTTTCTGAACTTAGGATTGTGTTACTTTAACTTCTATGGGTTCATCTACGTGGAAAAAATTGCCACATAAGAGTGCGTTTGGTAACATTTCTGTTCTCGAGAATCATATTTTTTTAGAAATAGTTTTTTCAATTATTCCCTAGATAAGTATCTGAGTAGAAGAATGTGTATGGTAACTGCATAAAATTTCTATTATTAGAATAGAAAATGAACAGAAAAGCATTTGGTACAATCCTAAAATTTTTTGGGCAAAAGTACACTAGAAGTGCCATAACTTGTGTACGGCGATCACTTTTGTGCCATAACTTTTTTTTCGGATCACTTTGGTGCCAAGTCGGAGGAAAAGCGATCACTTTAGTGACTCCGGCCAAAATTCCGGCCAAAAAGCTGACCTGGCATTTATATTAAAAAAAATGGTCTGACTTGTACACGGTAAAAATTACGTGGCTTTTTTTCGAATTTTTTAATTTTTTTAAAAAAAAGTTGCAATGGCGAGCGAGCCCTCGCCGCGCGCAACAACCCCACCACCGCCGAGAAGGGGGCGCGTGTCGGCGAGGGTCGTCGGCCCTTGGCCGGGGCCCGGTGACCCTCGCCGAGCCCAGGGAGGGCCGGATCCGGCGACCCTCACCGAGCCCAACGAGGGCCGAATCCGGCGAGGTCGGCCTCGCCTTCGCAGGCGAGGCGAGACCTCACCGTCGCCCGGGTGGCGACGGCGAGGTCTCGCCTCGCCCGGAAGGCGAGGCCGCGCCGCCGTCGCGACCTAGGCGACAGGAGGTAGGCCTCGCCTTCGTCCGGCGAGGCGAGACCTCGCCGTCGCGTGGGTCGACGGCGGGTCCGCCTCGCCTAGCAAAGGCGAGGCCGACTCGCCGTCGCCCGCAAAGGCGAGGCCGACTCGCCGTCGCGACCCAGGCGACGGCGAGGCGAGATGTGACATTCTGATTTTCGACCCATTTTTGGGATTTATAAAACGTGTAATTCGTCGGTGTGCTTATAGTAAAATCTCGCCCGAACCGATCACTCTCGGTTATTTTTAAATTAGAGATTTCGCTAGAATCGCACTTGATCGAATTTGGCCGTTATTTAAAGCCTAAACTTTGGTGTCGATTTTCGGAGTTTCGGGACGAAATAATTTGGACGGTGTCGATATTATTGTGCCAATAGTCGATCATGTCGGGAATAATGGAAAAAGGGAGTTTTTGATCGGGTGCGAATTTAGACTAGTAGACCTCCCTCGGGATAATTTGACTTAATTGATTTGGCCTTTGTCCCTTATTATATTCGAGGTTTAATTTGGACCGATAGATCATTGTCGGTTTTAATTATGGGCCGTTTAATTGCATTATTTATTTGATTGAACATTTAAATTTTTCTCTCTCTCTTTCTTTCTCTCTCCTCTGCCCGCGCACGCACTCCCCCCCCCCCCATTATCACGTCTGTCCTGCTCTCTCTCTCTCTCTCTCTCCCTTTCTCTCTCTTTCCTTCTCTCTTCCCTCTCTGGTCGCCGGACGCGCACGTCTCCCCCCTGGCAGACGTCCCCTCGGCCACGCCCATGCAGACCAACCACTCCCCCTGACATTCTCTCTCCTCCTTTTTCCTTTTTCCTTCCTTCCTTCTCTTCTCTTTCTTCTTCCCTTTCTTCTTCTTCGCCCGCGTCTGGTTCTGCTTCGTCCCTGTCTCTGCTTCTTCTCCCTGCTGCCCGACGCCGACCGCCGGAGCTCGCCTGGCCGCCACGCGCCGCCGCCGTCGCCCCGCCAGCCGCCGCGCCGCCGCCGGTTGCGCCATCGCCGCCGCGACCCCCCCTCTCCCTTCCCATCCCCTGTTTTCTTCGCCCCGACTCCTCCCCTGTTCTGCCTCGCCCGCGACCGCCCCACGCCGCCGTTCCGGCCGCCATCGCCCCCACTGGCTCGCCGCCACCATCCTAGCTCCCCCCCCCAAGCCGCCGTCGCCCCTGCTGCTCCGGCGACGACGCGTCTACCTTCCCCTGTTCTGGCCGAGCCTCCGCCGCCCCAGCTCGCTGGCTGCACGCTCGCCCATCTCTCCGTCGCCGTCGCCGTCAGCTGCTCGTCCCAGACCGGAGCTGTCGCCGTCGCCCCTCCTCTTCCTTTTCTTCCCCTGTTCGCGCGGCCTCTGGTCGCGTCGGAGCCGAGGCCGACCAGATCCGCCGCTCGCCGTCCGTCCAACCTCCGACGCCACTGCTGCCTTGCCGTCCGCCCCAGCAGCTCGCCGTCGCGCCGTCGCCGCCCCTGCCCCTGCCACTGTTCCGCGGAGTACCTTAGTTGCTGCCGTTTTTGCCTCTCGCTCGTCCTCTTTGGCCCACCCGTCGCCCCCATTCCCGTCGCCGTCGCTGTCCAGCCGCCGCCGTCGCTGCCCAGCCGTCACCGGAGCTGTTGCTGTTCCGGCGAGGTCCCTGCCACTCGCCGGTGCCGCTGCTTCTCACCACCGTGAACCCAACCGCTCGCCCTTGCTGCCGCTGAGTCGTCGCCACCGCTGTCCCGACGATCCTCCCCGTGGCCCAGCCCCGTTTTCTTGCTCAAGTCGAGGTAAGCGACTTCCTAATCCCGACTTAGGATGATGGGTAATGCTAGACTTGTTTAGGGGTTCGTGTGTTCGTGTGTGGGCTGAATATAGTGGCTGTCATGGGCTGTTCGGCGTGGTTTTGGTGGCCGTTTAGCGCGATTGGGTGGCTGAGTTATGGGCTGGTTCGGGGCGAGTGGAGGGGCCGAAGTATGGGCTGAATCGCGATGGTTTATGGCTGAATTTTGTGGTTGGATTAGAGGTCGTCAGTGCTGGAATTTATGCCGAGATCGTCGATGGTTCGTGCGTGATTTAATGGTCGTTTGACGGTAGTTCGTGTTGATGATTCGTGATGGGATAATGCGCCTATTGTGAGTTGAGGCTTAGTGTGATTGTATGAGGGGCCATTGAGGCTAGAATATTAATTTAGTGTGTGATTGTTCCATGTGGTCCAAATGCTTGAATTGTGTTCGTATGTGGTGAATTAATGATTGGTTGTGACCGCTTTATAGTGATCGTAGGTGTTTGTTGAAATGCAACGTGAATTGGTAGAACCATGGCCTTTTTGGCTTGAGCATGGCGAATTATGTTGCGGTCGTTTGGAATGGTTGTGTGATATTTGATTCCGTGAAGGACGTGAAGTTGATTGAATTAAGTGGCGTGTGTGTTTGCTTGAAAAGCCCGGATTGATCGGAGGGCGCCAACCCGAGGCGTGGTTACGCGGTGTGGCGAGAAAGGCAAGAAAAGACTTGAGGCGTGTTTACGCGGGTCATTGGAAAGAAAGTTGGGCCCGAGGCGTGTTTAGGCGGGCAATGAGAATGAGCCCGAGG